TATGAGGCCCTCACTAACACTACTACTGTTGTATCCACAACAGTCATCGCTGCTGTGGGAGGCTAAATAGGAGGATATCATTTCAGTACCGAGAACACGAAACCCCCAAAGTTCGATGGGGTTAAGGACCCGATCATGGCTGTGAGATGATTTCTAATGTGGATGGTTCGTTCTTCACTTGTTCCTATTTGGAGGAGTAGAAGGTTAGGTGCCCCTGAACCTTCTTCGTCTGGGCATGAAGGACTGGTGGAACCTGGTGACTGGTTCTTTTACTCGTGAGCAGAGGGTTGCTGTTACTTCGGGGAAATTCTTGGAGATGTTTTGCATACAGTATGTCCCCATGGTTGAGAGAGAGAGAGAGAGAGAGGTTGGCTCAAGAGTATCCAACATTGAGGTAGATGATAGAGTCGTTAACAAGATCACCAAGATTTTTACTGAGAGAGCTCTTTTATGTCCGAAGTATTCTGGTTCGGAGCATGCCCAGATGATGCGATACTTAAGCCTGCTCAATACTAAGATTCGACATTTCATGTTTACCCAACGATACGGTACCCTCTCTGAGCTTCTGGATGCCACGTAGACATGAGAGATTGAGATTGATATTTGGACGAGGGAGGAGAGGCAGGTTCTGGATCAGTGACAGGTTGCAACAAAGAGGTTCAAGCCCGCTATTTCATGATCTGGAGGTAAGATGGGCTGCACTTGTGGCAAATGCAGGAAGACGCATGAGGTCATTTTTCGATCAGTTTCTGGGTGCAGGGAGAGTCATATTTCTAGGGATTGTCGTCAACAAGCCCCAATGCCGAGCACTTGGATTTTATACCACTATGATTAGTTTGTCCATGTGAAGGCCAACTGTCCCTTGCTCGCTGCATGAACGGTGTAGGCTCTAGCCTCGACTAGCTTGAGAATTATAGATAGACGACAGTGGAGAGTTGAGGCCCCGAAGGCCAAGGGTCGTGCTTTTCAACTTGTAGTGGAGGAGGCAAGGGCGAAACCTAACATCGTTTCTGGTATGTTCTCATTTTTATTCTATTAGGTTTTTTTTATCATATGATTATGATTGAATGATTTTGTGTGAGACTCTTTGTGTGGTTTATCTAAGTCTCCACCTAGAAATCAATTTTTTTTTCCTCATGTTGATATAGACATTATGTTTTAAGAATCTTCATATGCCATTTTGCATACCGAGAGCCGTACTTAGAGGATATTCGGGAGAGCCAATTCTAGGGCTTTGATGTGGGATACATGGACCAATGACATAACAAGCCTTAAGCGGATGAAGACCAATAACTAGTTCCATTTTGGCATTTTCAGCAAGGAATCCAAGGAATCTGCAAGGTGGCATGCCAGATTTGAATGCAGGACTCGTACGAATCTTTCGTGGTTGAGAGCCAATGAGGGATTGGTATGATCGTGGGTGCAAAATTGGGGTTGTCAATTTCATACCTTCAGGATCATTGATTGCATGTTTGCATGGGAATTTCTCTATTGTAAGTTGAACGTGGGATAAGCTATTTACCCTTTTTAACGGTTCAGATATTCATTCTCTGTCATTCGTTAAACACGCCCAAGGACCTTGAGGTGGATTAAGTGGAAGGTGCTTGGGTAAATTGAGTTCATTGAGATTATGGGGTGTCTTTATCTGATTTTAGAAGTGTATGTGTGTGTGTGTGAGTGTTCGCTAGGATTGGTTGGTTATGGAATGCTAGTTCTTGTAAGCTCGGGTTGTCAACAACTTTGAGTAGTGAGGTTGCAGGATAGTTTGGAAATCCATCGATTTCGTGGATGGAAAAGCGTAGTTGAATGTAAGTGGGGGGGGGGGGGGGAACCATCTGGATCAAGGGAATGATTCTAAGAAAGGAACGATCAGCAGGGGCACATAGTGGTTATGTGAATAGGATTAGGTTGAGGGTCATGTATAGCCTATCTGCCTTTTCTTTTCTGATAAAGGATTTGGAGTTTGAATCATAACCCAAACACCTATT